CCCTTCTTCTTCGTCTGTGTATGGTAGGGGCTGGCGCAGTCTTCCTGTTTGAAGCGCCAGACCCCATTCACACCATGTAACGATGATGATGACGTATGTTCAGGGCTGCATTGCAATATTGATTGTTCGGATCACTGGTATCTAAGTCTTCCTCTGTGTTATCTTGTACTTTGTATTGAGAGGTCAGTTCTTGTTCTGGTCTGCACGTTACAGTATGCAACATCTGCAGTGAGCCTGAGGGCGAAGAGGGCGAGAAGGAAGTTAGCCATAGCGATAGGGKAGCAGCGGCCATAGCCGCCATAGCTGTAGGTGTGTGCGGGTGTGTGCGGGTGTGTGCGGGTGTGTGCGAGTGTACAGGGTGTTGCGTGTGGGATATCCAGGGTGATCCTCTGTGCGAACAGCAGTGTTGAGTAAGCGGCGAACAGAGAGTTGTACAGGCAATGTGCCGCCATAGCCGTCTGAAGTGAACTTGTATCTGAGCTGTGTTCTTGGTACTATATCTCTGAGTTTTGAGTGGGCGCTTGATGCCAGTTTGCTGCGCAACCTGTTTGCATGCATCCGGAGTGTGAATGAAAGCGAGTCTGATTGCAATGTGGCTACCCTTGCTATTAACTGGAATTGTGAGCACAATTGCAGAAGATTCTGAATGCGACATGTTTTGAAATAGAACCTGCTATGGTCCAGCTTTGCTTAGGCATTAGTGCTAAATTGCAAAGCTCTAAGAGGGACTCCACACCGTTGGCTAAATTCCAATGTTCTCGAGTACATAGGAGTTGATTGCCTGATGTACGAGTCTATGGTGGACTATGCCTCTGCTTCACATCCAGCAACTGTGTTTCTTCAATTGATTTTCTTCCTCTGGATGACGAATGACGCACTGCAGTCATAGACAATAGGTGAAGCTAGGTTCTGTGGCGAGCTATGCATCTGCCGTGTGTCCAGCAAGTGTGTTCCTTCAATTCGTTTTTTGCTCGCTTTTCCCGTGGATGAATGGATGGCACATTGCTCTGTTCCTTTCTGCTGAGCTTCTAGGTGACACGCCACATATCTGTCATGTTTATTGTTGATTTTCCTGTTTCCCCGCCAGTAGCCTGGATGATGGCTCTCTGGAACATTCCCATATCCACAATGGCAGGCACAGGACAGAAGACGTGCTTTCTCCATCAAACCAGCTTTCGCCACCTTACTTCTCACACTTGCCAGGAGAGAAATCAACTGCAGATGACAGACTGCATGGTGGGGAAAGCAATGTCATGGTGGGTCGCCAGGATTTGTCCATGTCAGCAAGACGGGTAGGATCAGTGCGAACGAGACCATCGTTCCTGTCTGGGAGTGGCAGCCTGCCAAGCTCGGGGGTGACTGCTGGGTTGTCGATGGGAGGTGCAGGAGGGTTGTTGATGGGAGGTGCAGGAGCAAGATCAACTTGGATCAACAGTCCGATCTCAGGGCCATCCAGGTGAAGACGTGTTTGCAGGGGCGGCAGCTGCCAGGTTGGTCAAATGCAGCAGGTTAGCATTGGTGAACTCAGAAGTCGGTGGATTGTGATGTGATGGTAGGAAGTTGATATTGCTGGGTTGTTTTTGGGGGTGGTTGCAGGGTCTCTTGCCAAGGTTTATGATCTGATGATGAAAGCTTTTAGGAAGATGTGTACTAGTGCAGGGCAGCGCTGTGGCTTGTCAACTGCCTGCCTGGTGCAGAGCAATACTGTGACGACTGTCTTTTGTTTCGACATCCAGGCAAAAGTGTGCTGATATGCCCACCTGCAAAGTGACAACTCATCGTGGTATTCCATCCAGGTCCAGGTCATGGGGGGACGTGGGCATGGCAGGGTGTTTTTGACTTAGGTGTTTGATTACCTAGTAGGTCCATTGACTAATTTGGATCACACTGATTGATTACATTTGTATTGTGTTCGGCGCATCTGAACGGCAGTGGTTTCTTTTTAATCCTGAGAAAATGTTGCCTCTTTTTTCCCTTCCGTCGAAGGGAATATAATAAATGCGGCACATATGGGGGGTGTTCAAGACGCAGAGAGCAAGGAGGAGAGAGAGAGAGAGAGAGAGAGAGAGAGAGCTGTCTCTTATACACATCTAGATGTGTATAAGAGACAGCAGAGAGAGAGAGAGAGAGAGAGAGAGAGAGAGAGAGAGAGAGAGAGAGAGAGAGAGAGAGATTTCTTGCTGTACATTTTGTCCCAGACTGTAGGTTGGTTTGTCCATTTGATGTGACATGTGATTCATTAACGTTCTTTTATGAGTGATGCCAGGTTGTCATGAGGTTCGTGGTGAGAGTGAGCAGGCAGTTAATTGGTTTGAGGAAGAGTATCAATGGGCCTGAACATCTAGTTGGAACTGAGTGTTATTTGGGTTATTGCATCTTGCTCTTGTTTATACCCACTTCTCGATGGTGTTTTTGAGTCTTGCAGCCAGCCCCTTAATGCTGCCTGTGATTGATCCGGTGCGCACACACCATACAGGCAGATGAAGGGAGGGCATTTCCAAAACCTCGGGTTTACTCAGGATGGGTTGTTTTTTTTTCTTTACAGGAGGCTAACAGATGATTCTGCAGGGTTTGTATGCTGACCTTCAAAGTTCAATGATCAGGGGAAGTTTGCGCAGCCCAAAACCTCCTCGGCACTTTCTTTTCCGGGACAAGTTTTTAGCACCCGACAACGAACTTGTCCGAGTCTGCTGTGCAGACATACAGATCACTGGAGCTGTTGTGTGAAAACGGCAGATTGATGGGGGCACAATTCGCAGACTGAGCTGTTTCGCTGGGTTGGCCTGCATGCCTTGCACAGGGACCAAGGAAAACTCTGCTTGTGCTGGGATGTTCATTAGCTTCACAAGGGTGTGTGATTGCTTGACTCGTACGGATGCCTGCCAGCAGAAGTTTGGGAAGCGATGTTTGTTTGGCTTTTCAATAACAATATCTTTCAAGTCTCTACTCGTGGAGGAGGAAGGGTTGGTATGTGTTGCCTCGTCTTTGGGGTGCAATTATGTGGCATTCTTAATTCCTCTCTGCTTGTTTGCATCAGATCAGCAGCTGTCTGTCTGATCCTATTCCCCCAGAAACTTCTTTGACTGAGACTTATGTGTTTGCACTGCAACAACTTCTAGCATTGCCGAGTTGTGATTGGATCTGTGTCACACTTGATGGATCCTATTTTTTTTCCCGTTTTCTTTATATATCCTTGATTGATTCTTGTTTGTGGTTTGAGGTCGGTGAAAGGGTAAGGAATGCATCCAGCATGCTTGGCTGTTTTTTAACAAGTTTTGTAACTAATCACAGTCCCATGCCTCCATTTGCTACTCCCTCTCTTGCTTGAGGTTGTCACATTGTCAAGCGCTCGTCAGCTGTGCTCATAAATAAGCGGGCTTCCATGTATGTTGATCCTGTCCGGTGGCAAAGTGCCGAAGTGGACAGTGAATTGCTTGAAGATTTTAACGAACAGTCAGCCTCGAATGGTACGTAGGAGCAGTCAGTAATATGGGATAATGACACAGTTCCTCATTGAATGGGTTCTGCAATGGTTGCAAGCTTTGTGAACCGGAATGAGCTTTCCTGCTATCAAAAGTATGGTCAGTGCTGTAACAATCTGAACGTTGCAATTGACCTTGCCTTCTTCAGTTGCCTCAGGAGTTTCATTTCAAGGTGGAGCTTCATGAAAAGAATGGGTTCGAAGTTACACACTCCCACTCATGCACAGCAGAATGGCGTGTGAGCGAGCCTTTGTATATGTACCGACAATGTCTCTCTCTCTCTCTCTCTCTCACACACACACACACACACACACACACACACACACACACACACACACACACACACACGCACACCCACAGATTTGCGCGCACACTGTCGCATACCGTAACTGTGCAGACCAGAACAAGAACCGACCTCTCTCACATAGTAAAGGATAGCACAGCGGAAGGCTTAAATACCAATGATCCGAACAATCAATGTTGTAATGCAGACCAAACATACATCATCATCATTCCATGGTGTGAAGGGGCCTGGCGCTCACACAGGAAGAATGCGCCAGTCCCCAACCATACACAGACGAAGAAGAGGGGGGTTAGACGAAGAAGAGGGGAAGACGGGAATGTCGTCAACACCAAGTCTTCGGTACAGGTCCGAAATAATCCCTCGTCGAATGTCTGAATCCCAATGTCGAGTCTGGGTCCAATATCGTGAAGTCTCAAAGTCACTGATCTCTCTCTCTCTCTCGTAGTCTGCAGATACTGAGAAGTCAGGTAGCGAGAGGGTAAGGAAGAGATGATGGACTTAGAAGAGGAGGAAGAAGAACTCTCTCTTGCTCTCTCGGTCCGGTACTAACCTGTGAAGGTGGCGCCTTGTTGCAGGTACATCGAAGACGAAGCTGGAGCTATGGCGCCACAGGTAAGTCTCCCTGGCCTCCGCCAACCATCTCTCTCTCTCTCTCCAACGCTACTCTAGCTCATACTAGCGCCCAGCGCTGAAGACTACTGCTAACGCTACTACTACTCCTGCAGCGCTCCTCCAGAGTGCTGCTGCCGAATCCTGAAGACTACCTCCTGCCTCCTGAACTGCACGTGAAGTGCCTGGGAAGTCCCTATGAACTACCTCGTGACTGCCTGCAGCCTGCAGGGCGGGCCAGTCTTATATAGTGCTGGCCCGTCCAGGAGGCTGCTCTTGCCAATGCCAAAATGTGAGACCCTGGTGTTGAAGTTCAAACGAAGGTTGTCTTGAAAACAGGCCCAAAATGGCCTGTGCTAAAACCCTGGTCTGGTGCCTAAGTTTCAGGGCAGGTCGACTTTATGAGGGCCTGAAAATGTCCCTCGTTTTCAGGCTTTTAGGCTGAAACGACAGAGGGCCTGTAGGCCCTCGTTTTCAGGCTTTCGGGCTGAAATGACACAGGGCCTGTAGGCCCTTGTTTTCAGGTTTTCAGGCTGAAAAGGACACACAGCCTGTAGGCCCTTGTTTTCAGGCTTTCAGGCTGTAAACGACACAGGGCCTGTAGGGCCCTTTTTTTCCTTGTTTGGTCGGGCCTTGCAGTATGCCACACCCCCCCCTCCTTGAAAGACCGAGCTTACCTGCAAGGGCGAAGCTGCCTGTCAGAGGGAGGGACCAAAGTCTGGGTGGGAGGGGCAGGTTTGTGAAGCTTCGTTAGCTAGTCTTCGTCGCTCGTAGTCGGCGTAGATCGGCGGTGCAGATGGAGGGGCAGGTTTGTGAAGCTTCCTTAGCTAGTCTTCAATGCTCGTAGTCGGCGTAGATCAGCTTTGCAGATGCTTGCAAATCTGCGAACTTGGTGTCCAAAATGTCGAAGGACACGGCCTCGCTTGCATGCGGGTCGAAGTACACGGGGACGGGGTCAATGCACCGGTCGATTGACTTGTGCGTGTGACTGTCAACCAACGTGACTTGCATGGGCTGCGACTTCCTCCGAACGCATGGCCCCAGGCCAGTGCGTACCAGAAAATCCTGGCCCATATAGTTGCGAGTGCTTCCGCAATCGATCAAACCGTTGCAGGTCGCCTCCCCGATCTGGATGCGTATGTACAACAATGGCGCATCGATGTCGTTGTGCCGTTGTGTCTTGAACTCGCGGTCGATCTTTGCAAAGTAGTCGTGAAGGTCGACAACCTTTACTCCGGCGTCCATCAACGGAGCTGGTACTGCAGTGTGCAAGTAATCCTGCAATTGTGCCTTGAGCACATTGCAATGCGGTCTTGGCAATCGACCGGTCGGGGAAATGGGCATCCATTGGAAGTCCACGAACATCAACGGGTCGAGCTCTTCAAGTCTTGACCATGACGTCGAATCCCCGGCGATAGATGGTGGCGAAGCTGCCGAATCGGTTGCCGATGGTGGTGAAACCGTGCATGCGGTGGATTGTTGCACGTGGAGTGGTTTGTCCAACGGTGGGACCAAGTGGACAGCGTAATCCTCGTAAGATTACCGAGGACTTGCAACATGCGCCTCCTCCCCAGATGTGTAGGAGGCCGCTAGCAAGGCGGCCGAATCTGGCTGAGTGAGAGGTGGAATCGCCTCACCTCCCGCGCAGCTCAGTTTCCCGAGCTGTGGTACTGGCTGCCCGTTTCCGGCCGGCGATGCGGTTTTCGCCTTCCCTTTTCCCCGGGAGTTGTTGCTTCGCGGTTGGACGGCGGCCACCTGATCTCCCTCACGTGATGCTGAGGCGGCTGCCGGGTCTTCCACAATGTTGTCCGGTTGGACTGCAGCGACAGGCTGCGGACACAGACCAAATCTTCCTTCCTCCACATGGGCTGGCTGCCACGTTGACTTCTCGTGTGCATGCCCAATGATGAACCCGTCATGGTGGTGGGGACGTGGCACTGCCGCTGATGTGGCACTGCTGCTGACGTGGCACTGCCGATGTGGCACTGTTGCTGACGTGGCACTGTTGCTGACGTGCCACCGCTGATGTGGCACTTACCAAACTGGGAATGCAGGCGAAGGGTTGGGTGGGAGGGAAAACGCAGGAAGGTAACCAACCAAACTGTACTTTCCTTCCGGTCCTAATCAACAGACTAAAAAAAATAAAATATATAAAAAAAAGAAGAGGAACCCCCCCCCCCCCTCTCTCTCTCTCTCTCTCTCTTTCTCTCTCTCTCTCTCTCTCTCTCTCGTCACAAAAAATCCAAAAAGAAAAAAAAAAAAAAAAAAAAAAAAAAAAAAAAAAACCCACCCCCCCCCCCCCCCCCTCTTTTTTTTTTTGGTTGAAAGTCTGTCGATTTGATATCAGTGAGGCATTTTACAGAGTGCTAAGAGTCAGATCTAGGCAAGGCTTCGCAAAATTTTGGCTTTCAAAAAATTTTGCGATTTTGAAAAAATTTGTGCGAAAATAGGATAGAGATTCGATTTTCATAAAAGAATAAATCCAGTTTTCGAGAATATGACAACCTCCTATTATGCCTAGCAAACGAAATGCTGATAGGCTTTGCAAAATTTTGGCTTCCAAAAACCATGTTTTTGCGAAATAGAATGGAGATTCGAATTTCAAAAAATGATAAATCCAGTTTCCCAGAATATGACAACCTCTGTCGTTATCCTAGTATGCCTAGAAAAACGAGATGCTAACATCAGAA